GGCTGTGAATAACAAAAGTGAGGGCCCGTTTGGGAGGGCTGAGCTGAAGATTCTCCTATACTGGTTCTGCTGCTTTGAAGAGCTTTGGATAAGTTATTCAGGTTGAAGTGGACAATCTTTAAATGATTGATTGGCAGCCAATTTAGGCTCTTTAGATTTTTCACCAAACATAGCTTACAGGCTGTCCACGTGGGGCCTATTTTGGAAAGTCAGAAACCGTTGTCTTCAGCCCTACCAAATAGGGTTGAGCATTCGGTTGATTCAGTTAAAAATTGAACTGAATAAATCAAAATTTTAATAACTGAAATAAAATAAATGAAAACCGAAACCGAATTACAAGAAAACCAAAATAATTAAAACCAAAATTTTTGGTTCGATTTTCGGTTAAAAACCGAATTTAATTAATATATATAAAATAGTATATATTATAACCTATAATATATATTATTAAAATATATATTATGAAATTGAATTTCATTATATTACATTATATATAATATATTAATATATAAATATATTGCATATTATATATTAAATGTTATATATTGTATATATAATTACATATTATATAATGAATTTCAATTAATTGGGTTTTTTTAATTAACTAAATTTCTAACTCTAAAAACCAAAACCGAAAACTAAAATTCTTAAGAGCCAAATTAACCAAACTGAATTACCCAAAAACCAAAAAAACCGAAACCAAAATTTTCGGTTCGGTATTTCGGTTTTAAACAAATAATGCTCACCCCTACTACCAAATAGAGTGAAAAAATGTTAAGAGTTGATATTTAGAAAACTTTTTTTTTCTACAAACATATTTCTTGAATTCGTATTCACAAGTATATTAGTACTAGCAGGGACCCACACGATGCACAAGCCTTTGTTAAGTGAAAGCTAAACAACAAAAATATATAAGAGTATACAATTGTTTTATCTTTTAACTTTTTAAATAATTAATAATTAGTTATATTTTATATACTACTTTTAATAGTTTTTTACAATACAAAAATAACAATAATTAATTTCAGCTAGGGTTGTTCATCAATCCGGTGCAACCGACCAACTTGACTCGATTTGGTTGGCTTTCTAGTATTAACGATCAACTGTTGTTCAACAATTTCCCAACCCATCAGGCTTCGTCAGTTTCGATTTGACCACTTGTAAACCGATCAAAACCGACGAAATTTGACCATAGATATATATTAATATTTTATATTTTTTTTTATAATTTTATAATTTATTTTTTAATAATACCACTATAATTTTTAAATTTAAATTTAATTTTAAAATTTAAATTTAATTTTAAAATTTAAATCTTTTGAACCAATTGACCAAACCAAAAATCAACCCAAACTGATACAACCCAAGTTGTTTGATTTTCACTAATGGTTAGTTGGTTTTGGATTACCAACTCCCCAACATGACTAGGTCGATTTGGTTGGCCAAACAACCTACAACTGAACCGAACCGACCTATGAATACTCCTAATTTCAGCTAAATTAATAATCCAATCACTAATAAATAATAATAGTTTAATATCCTATAATTATTGAAAATTTATAGAAAAAATACACAATTATTGAAAATAAATTTATAATGAAAATACAATAAAGAACTAACAATACAATAAATACTGAAAATATATTAAATTAGTAAATAAATAGTGTAGTCTCAAATAATACTTTAATTAATAATAAATATTAATAAAAAATATAACAAAAATATATAATTTCTAAAAGTTAAACTTAAAAAGTTAAAAAGCAGAAATTTAATAAAGAATTAATGAAAATATATTTCATCAAAAAATAAAATAAGTAATTACTGAATATACAATAATATTTATTTGAGTATATATAAATATACATTAATATTTTAAAATTATTAGTAATAAATATTATGTTTTGGAAGTTATTTTCTTGAATTATTAATTGATATAAGTAAAATTAGTTATTTACAATATTATTTAGTTATTTCAATAATATCAACATTTAAAATTTTGAAATATTAATTATTTATTGAATTTAATAATCCATAAAATTATAATTTATACTATTATTATATAATTTCGTTATTAATTTTGTAAAATATTAAATTAATATTAACTTGAATATTATGAAATCTATTATTATTATTTTTCTACTTTTAAGAAATTTTTAAATTTATTATATAATTTTGTTATTTTAATATTTGAAATTTAGTTATATTAATTATTTCATTATTTAAAATATTTACTTATTTAAATATTTATACAATATGTAAGATATTTAAATTTTTTTTATTTGAATTTTATTTATTTTAAAGTTATTACGTAATATTAAATATTTTTTATACAATAATTTATATATTTTTAATATTTTTATTTAAAATATTTAGTTATTGAATTATTTAAATAATATTTTATTCTTTTAATGTTAAATTTTTATTATTTGAATAGCATTTAAATTGAATAACCCGTAAAATTATAATTTATATTGTTAGTACATAATTTTGTGTTGAATTTTGTAAAAATATAAAATCATTAATAATATGCATATTATTAAAAATATTATAATTATTTTTTTGTATTTTTAATAAATATTTTAAAGTTATTATTTTTTTTCGTATTTTTTGTATTTATAATATTTAAATAAATCTTAAATTTTTTTAATTCAAACTTTCTTTAGATAATAAAGAAAATTTGGGGTAGAGGATAAATAAGAATTAGAGATAGTTTAGGAGAGAAACTCTCTACTAAATTAGAGATAATTTATGATATAAATAGGAATTAGAGATAATTTAGGAGAAGATATGGGGGATAGTGGTGCCACTTGGACGGACATTAGAAAAGAAAATCCCTCTTTCTTTATCCATTATTGTTAGAGATAATTTAACCTATACTGTTTCCTTATTGGTTTAATAGATAATTATGTGAAATTAAGAAAATAAAACATTTAAAAAAACAGAAAATTAGGAAGGGGGTTTGAAGCAAGGAGAGGGATGGTGAAATAGGCCACCCTGCTTTGTATATATAGAATAGATACATATTGAATTGTGCCTAACCCCTCTTGGTTTGAAAAAAAAAAAAACAGCCCAGTACTTCCTCTTCTAACTCCATGAACTGTTTTTGAGTCCAGATTAGCTGCGCTTGATGACTGCATTAGGGTTTATGTAACCAATAATAACGCCCCACATCAGCCACAAAGTGTACCGATCAATCCGTCACTTCGCATGGTTGGCTGATGTGGGGAGTCATTATTGGTTGCACAGCTTCTAATACAACCATCAAGTTCAGCTTATGCRTGCAAGTTCCTACTTTTTCATGGCATATTCCCTTCATGCCATTATCTGCCTATTGATCATCTATCGGAGAAGTACGGACAGGCTCAATGCAGATTTTTAAATTCCACTGCAGAGCTATAAACATTCAAAAGGTCAAAAGCCCCAATTCTATACACCAATGCYCATCCGTGAATTGACACCCACCCCAACTGTATTTTGGGCCTAAAAATTCTGACCTTAGGCTGAACCGTCATTCTCCCTTGATCTTTTCTTTTACCTTTTTTTCTCTTTATCATAAAGTATCAGATTTATATTATCCATTGGAACTTAATAAATTGTTAATCGAAGTCCCATAAGCAGCTCCCTACAAAGTACCCAAAACAAAATCCAACAATTATCCTACCCAAATCCCATCTCTAGGGTGTCATGAACATCACATAAGAAATTAAAGAGATGCCAAAAGAAGAGAATATTTTGTTGTGAGTGTGGTGGTAAGGCTACACACGGGTCTTCTTGAAAGACGAAGGAAGATCAAGAGTAAAGGGTAAGTTTAAAAGCTCTGAGTGACAGGGTGGTAGAATGATGAGATAATAGAATGATAGAAGAATGTTCTCGTTGTGAGCCACACCTCTATTTATAGGGAGAGATCTTGAGGTCCCAAAAGRAATGAGATAAATGTGTTTTATTCCCATTAGGAAAAGGAATCTCCGATTCGTTTGAGGATTCTCATAATACACATGGGCTACTTCCTTTTGCAAGTTTCTTAGACTTGCGTGGCACGWATAACGTCGATATTAATCTTGTGCCTTTTCTTAATCTTATTGGGCGTTCTATCACACGCGACGCTAATGAATCATGTGTTTCTTTGCTCGTTTCTGCAGGTTTGCGATGGCTTTTTGAGCTCATTGCAGCCTCGTGATGAACTTGGACTCATCACAAGCTCGCAGAGGCCTTGAATTTATCTTCAGTATGTGACTTTAAATTTGTTGCAGGCCCATGGCGGCTCTGAGATCATCATAACCTTATTTTAGGATCTGAATTCATAGCAAGCCTGTACAAATTCAGAGCTCATCACGGATTTATGCCAAGTCCTGAACTCATCATGAATGCCTTTGTGGCACCAGTTTAGCACCTTCTGTGTTATTACTATTGTGGTGATGACCACTAAACTTGTTCAAATCTCGTTCTACTTACTTGACATGATAATTTATGCAATAACAAGAAGACATTCATTCCTACTGTCTTCTTTTATTTGGTAGCATTCATTCCTAATATCTATCCATCGTATCAAACCCAAATGGGAATTAATAAAATTACATAAATCTGTGTGCCCTGTTTCTTTTTCTTTTCTTTTCACATCTCTATTTTTACTTWACTGTGAGTGTGTTGTACCATTGGAATCTGTGTTTCTAGGTTTTGTGCAACACTAATTCTAATATCATCTCATTTATTCTTAACTTTAAAGTTTTGCTTATATATGTTATTCGACATTGAATACAGGTTCATAGATTTTTCAGTGACTAAAAAACAAAGAATATTATGTTTGCCTTTTACAAGATTTTTCAAGGGCAAGTTAAGCAGGTGTGAAACAAATAGATAACAAAATATTTTCTTGTTTCATTATCAAATATTTTAATATGATAAATACCCATATTAGTCTATTATAGCCTAGACGTGAAGCCATAGCAAGTTGGTGTTTTTTCAACTACCAAATAAAAGCAAATCAAAGCAAGTTTCTATAATCATCGCTTTGCATTGTGATTTTCAACTTTCTCATGGGAGCTTCTGTGGCCAGTACTCTCCATAGGAAGACCGTCCAACTCCATCATGAACTTTGTGCAGCGTTGCTTCTTGGCATTCTCTGCTTTTTGGTATCCTTCATGAATCTTCTTGCTTGCTTCAATTTTCTCACGGATTATTGAGTCTTCTAGCAAGGCTGCAGGTTTTTTCTCCAACTTCTTTTCATCCTTGCTCTCGCTGAACTCCATTGATGACTTGGTGGTGATGGCCGGAGCTGCACCAGGCAAAGCAACGTCGTCCCTCTGGGTCAGCCATTCGTCCACCATTGTTTGCCAACCCTGAATCAGAGTCCGGGCTAGGTGACGAATCTGTTTCGACTCGGTCTTCTTCCTGAGTTGATTTATCGCCTTTCCAATCTCAGTTTTCTCCAATGTCACAACAGAAATCTCCATTCTCTGAAGCCTCTGTAACAAATCCAACACCGACTCTTCATCTTGACTGACAGAAAGGTTCCTTTTGATCCGTAAAATCTCCCAAACAACAGTCTGACTCTCGCTAATTGCAATCTCTTCTGTCTTCACACTTCCTTCAGTTTCCTCTGTCATCAGCACTTCTGTTGGCTTATCTTGGCTGCTATCCTTGGAGCTGCAGATACTAACATTACTCTCCTCAGTAGAGACGCCCTTCTGTTGAATGCTATCTCCTACTTTCACTGCTTCCGGTTCCAACACATCAGACCTGAGACTCCTACTGCTGCTGTTGCTGAACCCACAAGAGAATAGTTCCTCCACGATTCTTCCCCTCTTCGTCCTAAACTCGTCTGGGCAATCCAAAGCAGCCACCATGATTGCATTCTCAAGAACAGTCAAGATATCCCCGTCTGCACCTCGAAAGAACTTCCTCCAGTAATCAAGTTGGATGGGTTCTTCAGCCATTATCAATTCAATCCACACACGACGAGAATCGTGAACCAAAAGCCTAGAATTAATAAACCCGAGCTTAACGATAAGATAACTATGAAGACCAAATCCAGTGTTAAGCGTATATTTACTGTCGTGAATCCTGATGGGTTTCTGAGTTTTGGAAGTTCTAGCTATATAAGTAGTAACAGTAACAGATTTTAATTTCCTAAGTTAAGCGACTTTCCGATTTTGATTAGGAGAAGGAGACTTTCCGTGGTTATCTTTTGGGTTAAGGAAAGAATCTATCTATTCTATAATCGATACAGAGAACAAGGTTGTCCGCGGGCTTCTCCTTGTTACAAACCCCTTCTTAATTTTTTTTTTATTTTTTAATTCTACATAATTACCCATTAAAAGAATAAGGAAAGAAGGAGGCTAAATTATTTCTAACAACCAATAATAAAAAAAGAGGCCAAGTGGCACCACTATCCCCTATTTTCTCATAAATTATCTGTAATTYCTATTTATCCTCTCCCCCACTTTTTATATATACTAGTGCGATGCACGGGAGAATCTGAAAGATTTAATAATTTTATTTTTCATTTAATGTTGATTTATAAAA